TCTTTTGTTGTGCAAGTTTTTAGAGAGTTCCCCCCCCCCCAAAAAAAAACCACATAGACACACCACACAAATTATCCCAGATCTTTCATCAGGAGCTGAAAGCTACTATCTCCTCATTGGTAAATTGGGATTCTTACAGGAAGTTAAAGGAAACAAACAGTAACACATGCTTTGTGTAACTTTCCAGAACTGGAGCTTTCAAGTGGAGCTCTTTGGGATTGTCCTGACTTTGGAACATGTGACTGGTTTCAAATCCCAATACAGTGGTACCTCGGGTTAAGTACTTAATTTGTTCCAGAGGTCCGTTCTTAACCTGAAACTGTTCTTAACCTGAAGCACCACTTTAGCTAATGGGGCCACCCGCTGCGCCACCAGAGCACAATTTCTGTTCTCATCCCAAAGCAAAGTTCTTAACCCAAGGTACTATTTCTGGGTTAGCGGAGTCTGTAACCTGAAGTGTATGTAACTGAGGTACCACTGTATAGCATTTTAGAAACCATAACCTTCCTTCCAGTAGTGTGTGTATGTTCCTGTGTGAATTGGGACTTCCTAGTAACTTTAATATTATTATTATTATTGATTACACTTTTATGCCACGTTTTCTCCAAATAGGTTCAAGGTGGTCACATGGTTCTCCCCATTTTATCCTCACAACAAGCCTGTGAAGGAGGTTAGGCTGAGAGATGGTGAGTGGTCCATTCCTATGCCCCACAAATAACCCAGAGATGCATTTTAAATAAAAGCACACTTTCTACTCATGTAAAAACACGCTGATTCCCTGACCATCCATGGGCTGGATTTAGAAGGCAATTGGGCTGGATCTGGCCCCGGGCCTTAGTTTGCCTACCCATGCTCTAGCCACTATACCACTCTGGCTCTCAGTATAGTGAAATAAAATTGCCAACACATTTGTAAAGCTAAGCAGGGTCTGGTATGGTTTCAAATTGGATGGGGGACTGCATGTTGAGAATTCCAGCATAGCAGGGGGTGGACTAGATGACCCTATGGGTCTCTTCCAATTCCACAATTCTATGATTCTAAGTTTTGTGGGGTCTTTAAAAGACTTTAAAAGCCAATGCATAAAGTATATTGGGCTAGTGTTGTTAATAAGTGTGTTAAGCTTTTTAATTAACCCTTTTTGAGGCTGCAAATAATTTTTTGTGTTAGGCAACTGTTCCGTTCAACCTCCACACGGGCTGCCCAGTCCACTGAGGGGGGTCAGTGTACAACACTTGCCCTCCCCCGGGCACCAGCAACCCCAGCTATGCCACTGTCAACATAGACATTGAGTCCCTGTCAGGATAAAAAGACAGAGAATACTACTACTACTACTACTACTACTACTAATTTAGAAGGCTTCTAATTTCGGCCTAACAAGGTTGTGGGGAATTAAACAAGGATGTACACTAGCTTGAGCTCCTTGGAGGAAAGGTGGGGTATGATTGCAATTAATAAATAACAAATTAAACAAATAATGAAAAAATAGAGTACACATACAAGTCTGCAATGGCAGCACTGTGTTCCTCCTCCAAGGACCAATCCTAAAATATTCCAGAGGCACCTTAACACCTTATCTTAGCTACAAGGCACACTGGGAATTGTAGTTCTTTCTCCTTGATGAGTTTCCTGCAGGGCTGATGATAGTCACCAAGGCAAATGTCCTTTACTCCCCGCCCCGCCCCCCTTCATACTGTGACTGTCAACAGGTGGCAGTTTTGTGCTGTGCGCCAAACATATGCAGGACTCAGCTCTATCACTGCCAGCATTGCCATGGCGCCTGACACCGGTGAGAGGGGGGGAACAAAGAAAAGTGCCAAAGCTTCCCTCACAAGTGTGAATTTGAGTCTTGTGCTCTTGCTGGGAGTTCGCCCCTGGGGCTCAGACTGGCCAATACTTTCCTTAGACAATCAGTTTTCCTTTGCCCATATGGTGGCGGTTGGTTGCCACCCTGGCACAAACCAATTGAGAAACAGGGTTTCCTCCATGGCACCACTGCCACATAGCCAGTGTTATCCCTTTCACTTAGATTTGGAGTAGGAACATAGAAATAAAATGGAAGAGAATGGCAGTTGCCGCTAGCGACACTTTGTTGGTACTTAGTAAGGGCCACCTAAAAAGGCCTTGAGGGCTGCATGTGGGAGGTGTTGGACCATCCTGTTTTACTCTGTAGTTGCCAAATCTGTCAACTAGGGCAGGCTCAAGACATTTTGCTGCCTGAGGCAGAGCAGCACATGGTGCCTCCCCAAAGTCAAGGTGCATATTAGTACCCACAACTGGTCAAATTATTTGGCACCCAAAACAGAACATCCCACAACAACCACTCCTTGGGAGTAAATATAAAAGAATAATACATTACAAAACAACCATCTGCTGACCTTTCTTGACACACCCAGAATTATATGCCAGAGGCAACCACCTCACTTTACCTAATAGTAGAGCTGGCTCTGCAATCAACAATGCCTGAGATATTTTGGGATTGCATGTGAAGGGACTTTTGATGGATTTAATGTTCAAGACAATCCAACATAAGGGGAGAAAGGAGTAGGGGGCTATGTGTCTTCCTTAAAAGACAGCAGTCCTGTTTGAAGAGGTCCTCTATCAAAAGAGCTGTCTGGTCAAGGAGCAATTTTAAGATAAATAACTATGGAAAGGGAAGTCGAGGCCTATCAGCAATTAGCACCTGGACAGCTACAGTGGGGTATATTATATTTCTGATTAAGAATTAAATTACCGTATATCAATTATTTCTAAATTGGAATCTTTCTCCTTTTGATAGGGATACCTTCCTTCTTCTTTGGTTAAGTACCATGTATATGGTCACCTTGCAGACAAACTATTTAAATAAGTACATTAGTAATTGGATTTTATTTTCCCCTGCCTTGGTGGTTTGATGCTGTTGTCAGTGGTGCTGTCAGAACAGGAGTTGCCCTGCCCCCGCCCCTCAGGAGCATGAGGTTCAGGATGGCTTTCAAACCTAAGGTTTGAAAAGCACAAGTTGAAATACCAGTTAGAGTCCTCACTCATAAAACCATTAAGTCCTGAATCTAAAATTGCTTAACTGTACCACTCATGGAACTTTGTCCTATTTATCAGAGACAGATGCTTCCAGAAAATATAGTAAATCACTATTCCTATTTTGCTTATCAGTGAATACTTTTTAACAAATTATGTGTGCTGCCAAAATAATTAAAATATCAGGTTTCAGCCACTTTCCCCAAGTCTCTAGAAATTAAATATCTGGGATAGTATTCAAGTATGTTTTACTTGTTCATTAAACAAGTTCATTAAACTTAAAGGTAAAGGTACCCCTGCCCGTACGGGCCAGTCTTGACAGACTCTAGGGTTGTGCGCCCATCTCACTCAAGAGGCCGGGGGCCAGCGCTGTCCGGAGACACTTCCGGGTCACGTGGCCAGCGTGACATCGCTGCTCTGGCGAGCCAGAGCCGCACACGGAAACGCCGTTTACCTTCCCACTAGTAAGCGGTCCCTATTTATCTACTTGCACCCGGGGGTGCTTTCGAACTGCTAGGTTGGCAGGCGCTGGGACCAAACAACGGGAGCGCACCCCGCCGCGGGGATTCGAACCACCGACCTTTCGATCAGCAAGCCCTAGGCGCTGAGGCTTTTACCCACAGCGCCACCCGCGTCCGTCATTAAAGTTAGGCATGTTCATTAAAATTAATGAACATGCCTAAGTTAGGTCCATTAATTTCAGTGGCTCTTCTCTGAGTAAAACTTAGCTGAATGCCATTCCTGGGAGTGAGGGGGGGGTTTGCATCACTTCACTAGTGTACAAACCTGCTCATGTACACATGTGCACACTAAAGTATCATGCAGTTCACAGTTTGGCAGGTCAAGAGGCAGGCAGCTGAGGTGAATTTTGAAGCGTTGATACCACATTATAAGTAATACATGATTAAAAATATTCTACCATATACTGAACTGAAAGCAAATGCTCCCTTGGATTTCAAATCAGGGTAAATAAGCACAGAGGAGAAGCTTCACCAGTGCATGATGGTGGTTGAATAATAATAATAATAATAATAATAAATTTTATTTATATCCCGCCCTCCCCAGCCGAAGCTGGGCTCAGGGCGGCTAACAACAATCAAAATAATCCGACATTCTAAAACATTCATTATAAAATTAATTAAATCAAATTAAATTAAAATCAAATTAATGGCAACCATCAAGCCAAATTCTGTGCATATTGCCGATTGCCAGAGGAGGGGGTCAGGCTGCGCCCTGACCAAAGGCCTGGTGGAACAGCTCTGTCTTGCAGGCCCTGCGGAAGGATGTCAGGTCCTGCAGGGCCCTAGTCTCTCGTGACAGAGTGTTCCACCAGATTGGAGCCGCGACCGAGAAGGCCCTGGCTCTAGTTGAGGCCAGCCTAACCTCTTTGTGGCCTGGGATCTTTAGGATGTTTTTATTTGCAGACCGTAGATTTCTCTGTGGGACATACCAGGAGAGGCGGTCCCGTAGGTACGAGGGTCCTAGGCCGTATAGGGCTTTAAAGGTTAAAACCAGCACCTTAAACCTGATCCTGTACTCCACCGGGAGCCAGTGCAGCTGGTATAGCACTGGGTGAATGTGATCCTGCGGCAAAGACCCCATAATGAGTCTCGCCGCGGCATTCTGCACCCGCTGGAGTTTCTGGGTCAGTCTCAAGGGCAGCCCCACGTAGAGCGAGTTACAATAATCCAGTCTGGAGGCGACCGTCGCGTGGATCACAGTGGCTAGGTCAGGGTGAGAGAGATAAGGAGCCAACTGCTTAGCTTGGCGGAGATGAAAAAATGCCGCCTTTGTTATAGCTGTAATCTGCGCCTCCATAGAGAGGGAGGTATCGAAGATTACACCCAAACTCTTAACGGATGATGTTGGCACTAATTGCACCCCCGCAAGAGATGGGAGTTGCCCCCTCAATCCCATATCACTCCGTCCCAGCCAAAGGACCTCTGTCTTCGAAGGATTTAACTTCAACCGGCTCCCACGTAACCATCCAGCCACAGCTTCCAGACATCTGGTCAGTGTATCTGGGGCCGAGTCAGGGTGGCCGTCCATCAACAGATAGAGTTGGGTGTCATTGGTTGAAGGATGTTCTGGCAGTGACAAATGTGGAACTCATTCGTAAAAGTTCTGTGGGTCAGTGTTGTTAGAAATGTTACACAATCAATTGTCCTTTTTATAGTTATATTTCCTCTAAATGGTCTAGTGTGATTTCTCCTGTGTATTTGTATAATTTTGTGTGACACACAAACTCGCATAACCCATATACCTACATTTCTGTGTCTGTGGTTAAGCTAAAGTCAGAGACAGTTCTGTTGCATTTGATTTCTCAAATGAGGAAAGAAAAAAATGTTGTTCTTGAGCAAAAGGGTAGGTTGACACAGACAAAAAGATCGAATTTTTCATAATTTCCATATAGTCAGAGGAGAAAAAGTACCTCAACCCTTGGTGATAAGCAGAGTACATAGAGAAATTGGGCTGTGACAAGGCCTGCCTGTGGCTTCCTCGTGATATAAATACGGGTTTGTTTTTGAGGATTCTTCACTATTTATCCATCTGCTGACCTCATCTGATCGGAAAAGCCCCAGGCGGTAAGTTGATTTGCTTTTCAGAATATTTGAGCTTGAAGGATTTGATAAAACCATTCTTTGCATTAGGAAGGGGGAGATACCCATAAAATGGGATGAATATAATCGTTGATTATAGTTCAATTTGGGTCAGTCTAGAATTATTAGACTATAAGCCGGTGAGATAGAGTCCGACCTCTGACTTGCAGCAGTCACTCTCTGGCTTGAAAATGAGCAAGGCCAGATTCTGTTATTTGTCCTTCTAGCAACAGAGTGGCTGAACGGACTATATTCTGTTAGACCTGAAGTTCACCTGTCACAGAACTTGAAGTGATTACATTGTTTTCTATTGAGGTGCATCGCTTGGCTCAAGTTACTTTTAATATAAACCACTGGACTTGAGAATAGTAACTTCGCTTCTCCAGGGTATAGAATTTACACACCTTATTTTTTTTCAGTGGCACCCCATCCAAATGAACCTGTTTATGTTCTCATTTATCTTGTGTACCTGCTAACACTGGTGCATAGGCTTGCAATGTCTATTGGGGTGGGAGAAATGTAACTCACTCAGCTTTGTTAGTTTTGAAATACTAACGAATATGGTATTTTGGAGCTAGGAGTTCGTGGTGAATAGCAGGAGAAACAATAGACGAAAGGAAGTACTTCTTCACATCACACATGGTTAAGTTAGAGAATTTCCTACTACAATGTGTGGTGATGGTCCCCAACTTGGATTACTTTAAAGGGGGATTAGACAAATTAGACAAATTCATGGATGTTAAGGTTATCCGTGGCTACAAGCCATGTTGATGATGACCGTATCATCCAGCACGTATCAGATGCTGGGGACAAACAAAAGAAAAAGCTTTGTAGAGGCATTCAATTGCTCAGCGCTGAAAACAATAATGATAAATGAAATCAACTAGCAAGACTGTTATTGTGTACTTTTAAACAAGCTTCTCCACAGATAGCAGTGATGGGCATTTCCATATGTACAAAAGGAGGTGTGCATAGAACATCCCTCTCTACTGAAGCCACTTGGAAATATTTTGTATGGTGAAAACTCAAACATAGAGCTTACTAAAGCCAATTCACATTTGCTTGATTGGGGCAGGTTACTTTGGCTTTATCATTTATCATTTATTGAGTTATACAACCTTTTTTTATACAACCTTTTTTATACAACCTTTACAACCTTTTTAGGAGTCTAAAGCAGGGGTAGGCAACCTAAGCCCCGTGGGCTGGATGCGGCCCAATCGCCTTCTCAGTTTGGCCCACGGACGATCCGGGAATCAGCGTGTTTTTACATGAGCAGAATGTCTCCTTTTATTTAAAATGCATCTCTAGGTTATTTGTGGGGCCTGCCTGGTTTTTATATGAGTAGAATGTGTGATTTTATTTAAAATGCATCTCTGGGTTATTTGTGGGGCATAGGAATTTGTTCATTTCCCCCCTAAAAAAATATATAGTCTGGCCCCCACATGTTCGACAGTGGAATTTGCTGCCAAGGAGTGTGGTGGAGTCTCCTTCTTTGGAGGTCTTTAAGCAGAGGCTTGACAACCATATGTCAGGAGTGCTCTGATGGTGTTTCCTGCTTGGCAGGGGGTTGGACTCGATGGCCCTTGTGGTCTCTTCCAACTCTATGATTCTATGATTCTATGATCTGAGGGATGGTGGACTGGTCCACGGCTGAAAAAGGTTGCTAACCCCTGGTCTAAAGGGTATCTCTCTACCTTTAGGTATTTCTAGATGTATTTATTCCTCCACTAAATTTGAGTTAAAATGCTTGACAAAATGTTGTGACATACAACATCCCATATGGAATATTAATTATGGTTTCCTAAAATGGTATTATTAATTTGATTTTAGTCTCTCCGTCACCTTTTTCAATTTGTTGAGACTTTTAATTGTCTTGCCTCATCACAACTTGAAAGGCAGATCAAAGGTAGCATGATATATACATTTTTAATTTACTATTGGATTTAGACATGAAGGAAGAGAAGGCAAGAAAAAAAGGAGGGAATTCACTTTCTGATATTGCAGCTCTGGGTGATTTAATATAAATTAGCTACAATTTGAGATGTGATGTAACAGTTCCTGTTGAAAATCTTGGAATATCTCAGTAATTTCTCTTGGTTCTTTGCAGTAACATATTGCACTCAGTAGTTTAATTGATCCACGTATTATATGCATCATATTTATTATACATCACAAATTGCCCTAGAGCAGTGCTCCCTTACTTGACACCCTTCAGATATTTTGGATTATAGCTTCTATTAGTCTTAACCAGGAAGGCTGTTGGACCAGTTCAAGGTCTATTTAGACATGTACTTGTACATGTATTGTCCCCACCTCCAGCTGGAAAGTCAATATGGGATAGCTAGAGCATTCAAGCAGAGGGGGCAAGGATCCTGAATACCTCAGTTCTACTCTCATACCAAGAGGCATGAGGGTAGAACTACACTATACGGTACATGCAACAATGTCCAATAAAAATGAATGGCCACTTCTATTAGAGCAAATCTGTTGGAGTGGGGAAGATTGTGTTTAATTCTTGCCCAACCCTCTACCTTTTTCCACAATTCATTTCCACCAAACACTTACCTTAAAAGAGTTCCAGGTGCTTCCTTGCTTGTGGATGTGGATGGGTGGGTGGTGAGTTCCCACGGAAAAGTGACAGGTGTGGGGGCAGAGGGTGAAGCACTCCCTTCCCATTGCTGTTTCTCCTCCACAAATCTCCTCCTACTGAAATGACTTTGCCGAAAATATAAGCTTTCAGTGAAGTTTTGTTATACAGTGTATAATATACACAGTTTTATATATAACATTGGTTAAGTTCTGACCTCAAGAAGGAAAATAATAGGTATGAGGCAGCAATGGGCAATTAATAGATCATGGCCCATCTCTTCCAGACAAGAATTCCCAGCAAAAGTCAATAGAACAATTGGATGGTTTTAATTGTAGACTAGAGGGATTATTGCGTGCCGGGGGGTGGGGGTGGATACTGTTTCCATCGCATATAGAGAGAGATCCTACATCTCTCCATTATATCTTCTGTCTCTGAATTGAGGGTGACTGCATAGCATCTCACAGCAAACTCTTTAGGAGTCTTCTAGATCAACCATCCCAGTATAAAGGTTGGGAAACACTGTTCTAGATCATATGATATAATAATAGTAAATTCAGATGGTGACTGCCAACATGACTGTAGCCGAAATGGGACCAATGAGGAAATATAGGAAGGTATCTGCACTCAGCAAGTTTGGTGGGAAACCAAGGTTTATAGAACTATAACAACCTTTTTTTAAAAAAGAGCTGGCTTGGAGTGTTGATTAGAGATAGACTATGACCTGTGGGTTCAAATTCCCACTGTGCCAGGAAGCCCATTGGATGACTTTGGGCCAGTCACTGACTCTCAGCCTAACCTACCCAACATGGTTGTCTGGGTAAAATGGAGAGAAGTATGTGTGCCACCTTGAGCAGTGGGATATAACTGCAAAAATAAAGAACAAACAAGGGGGACAACCACCCCCCAAAGACAACACAATAAGAACTGAGCATACTCAGCGCACACTGATTGTTGACTAATTTGGAAAACCCAAATGGAAATCTGGCGTGGGGTGGAATAGCCATTGGGCGGGGGGGTGAACTAGCATTTTTTTGAAGGTCCCTGTTATACTTCAGCATCTGTTTTTGGCCTTCATTAAATGTAATTTCTTGCCACTAATATAGAAGTTCAGAATGGCTGATAATTTAGATAAATTTGGTTTGCAGTTTCGATAACTGAATTAACCATCACACATTAGAAGCCAGTTGGTTTACTATGCTTATCTCCTTGCTGATATCCCACATAAACAAAAATGCATCCATAAGGAGACACAAGGAGGCATGTTTGAGACTCAGAAACAACTTACATTGGAATAAAATCTCAATGGACATGGAATAACTGGCACTCGTTGATTATAGTCATAGCCATTAATGTGTGCCTATTTCCCTCACGTACCTATGATTCCCTGACAAGAGGGCTTGATTGCTATTCTGGGAATTGTAGTTCTGCGAGGGCACTAGGGGTCTCCTAACAATGCTTAGCATCCTTAAGAAGCTCATTCCCAGGATTTTTTGGGGGAAGCCATGACTGTTTAAAGTGGCATAATATGGCAGATGGGACCTATGTTTTTGGAAAGTGAGGAAGACCTACCCTTTGACTATTCTGTAACTTCTTAAAACAGATTGGTTAAAGAAGGTTCAAATGCTTTAACTCTGTGTTAGTTGGGCCTGAGTGCACATTGTATGCTCGAGCTGGATATTTTTTTTAGTGGGCCATTGTATTTCCAACCCTCAGTCCACTAAAGCTACCATGTGAAGGGAATTTTTAACCTCACGGAAGCGGTTAGATGCTCAGTTTGACGTATAGGAAAGAACTCAGCATTCGGCACCAATACCATATGACGCACATACGCTGGGAACAGGTGTCAGCAATTTGAAACCCATTGCGGGGTGGCATTTTCTCCCCCTTTCTAGGAAATGAACATAGGCAAAGCTTACTGATAACAAGTAAGATGACATCAAAACAGGTTGAGGGAAGGGTGTGGCGTCTAGCAGTTAGAGGAAGGCTGAAGCGGGGGGGGGATCTTGATGGGGGGCGCTTTTTACACCGGCATACCAGCTAGAGGACTCTGTTGATGAGCTCTAAAAATGTTGTAAATAATAATAATAATAATAATAATAATAATAATAATAATAATAATATATTCCACTGATAACTCATGGATATACTAGTGTTGTGTGCGCCGCAATCTCTGAGCAGCAGTGAGAGACTTTAGGGGTTCCAGTGCCCACCTGAGGTTCGGTTTTCTTTGAATGAAGCTCAACAGAAACTACACATACTGTATCTACAATCTGAGCACAGGGTGGAAGGCTTGACGCATTGACACACCAACAGATCTTGTTTTCCTCTTAGGTTTCCATTTCCAGAGGTCCTACAGCTTCAGCCAAACTCTCTCATACATTGGCTCTGGCTATTG